ATGTGAGAAAGACATATCGACTGTTTGCCTCCTGCACACAACCCGACCAGGGTCAGGGAGCAAACCCACAACCCAGGTATGTGCCTGGAATTGAGCCCATGGCCCTTCGGTGTGTAGGCTGGCATTCTAACCACAGAACCATACCAGCCAGAGCACAAGGCACACTTTTAATGGTCATGTCTCCCATTCTCCAGTCCTCTAGTTAGTCCCTGGGACATCTAGTGGACTCCCAGCACACTTTTGCTGTTCCCTCTGGCTGGTCCCATACCTCAGCAGCTGTTCCTTGTTCCATGTGGCCCCTAGTGCCTTTCTCTGTCTCTCCAACTGTCCTGTGGGTCTGTCCCTTCCCTGCCCCACCACCTGTTCTACAGCCTCAGCAGCTGTTCCCTGCCTCCTTTGGCTGCTACTCACCCCCACATTCATCTTTCCATTTCTTACTCCCTGGTGCCTCTGCATTTCCCATCCCCTTAGATTTTCCTCTAAACCCTGGTACCTCATGATGAAGTTGCTTGTCCTGCAGGCTCTTACCCAACTGACCCTTTTTGCTTTTTCCATTTAATTGAGTCTTCTGTTTCTTCATCCCTCTGGATTGTCCCTGCTCCCTATGGCTGCTATTTGGTTCCTCTACCTCCTGGTTCTTCCTCCTATTTTGAGGTCCCTGATTGCTCTTGGACCCTCTGGCTTTTCCTTGCTCCCCACTGTCACCACTTCTCCAGCCCTGACAACTGTTTCTTGGTCTCTCTGCTGCTCCCCGACCTCTGACCTGTGTTTCCCATTTCTTCTGTGTCTTCCATTGCACTCCCACCTGTCCCATAGGCCCCTTGCCTATCCTTCATCTCCAGTAAGTGCACCATGGTCCCTGCAGCTGTTCCCTGTGGCTATTCCTCATTCTTTTCTTTTACTGACTCCTTCTGCTTGTTTTCTAGTTTCAGCCACTACTTCCTGGTCCAATTGGTTGTTTCCCATTCCTGGGGACATTTTTATTGGTTCCTTAGTATATCTGCGCATTCCCTGCTCCCTAACATCTAAAGAAAAAAAAACAAGACCATAACACATAAATAAGTGAATAAATAGTATTCACCAGGGTCTTGATAATTTCTATCTCTTCTTGCAAAGGGGAAGAGATCTGTGAATGGGAAGGAAGACATGAGTGGAGAAATGTGCCTTGCAGAGCCCAGAATCATTTGTCTAGAATTTCCCACACATCAGCTGGGCAAGAGGTCACGTGCAGAAGTACTGGGGAGGAACACATTGCTGTGGCCCCAATCTGTGGGTCTGTGACTTATATGATGACAGAATAGAGCCTAGGCAAGGGCGATTTTCCACTGGGTAGAAGTGTGCTACTGCCAGGCAGCGATTGCTTACCTATTCAATGCCTCTATACCTTTGACTTAAAGTATAATGTCAGTGACTTGGGCAAAAAGATTTAAGTGTAGGAATTTCACCATAACAGTTTTAATCACAGCGGAAAACCTGAAACACTTTAAATGTACATGTAGTAGACTGGTTAAATTAATTATAGTTTATCCAAAAGACATAATGCTATGTATCATGTGTACATGAAGAAAAGCATTTATTGCTTAGAAAATTATGTTAAACAGCCAAGTTAAAAAGGAGGAAACCAAATACTATGATTCCTTTTCGAACTAGAGCTATATAATATATATGTATATGGTACGTATGCACACTCACAGCCCCACAATATACCCCATATGTGCACTCATGCACATACAAAGGAAAAAACGCCTGAAAGGAAATATAGTTATATGTAAACACTGGTTAATTTGGGGTAGTGCTGGAATTACAACTGTTTTATTTTCTTCTATTTGCTTACCTTCAATTTCAAATATTTTATTGTGAAATTATGAAATAAAATAAATTTTAAAGTTTAATATTATCCTAATGACCACATGACCCTGAGCCCCTGTGACAATGAGCCTGTCCCATAGGTGACAGCATCCACAGGACAGTCTGAAAGAGGGAGCTGTCTGGTAGGGTCTGGCTCTCTCATGTCTTCCTCTGTTTACAGAATCTGCAGGGGAACTTTTAGTGGGACACTTGATCTGGGCTGCAGTGGGGTGTGAGGGTGAAGGACACATTCAGGAGACTGGCTTCCTATCCAGTTCTGTCATTCACAATCTGAGTCACTAGGGCAAGTCAAGTTCCTTCTCAGGCCATTTTGTTCATCTTTGAAAGGAGGAAGAACTAGAAGTGCTCTAGAGACTGTGGTCGTCCTACTACTCAAAGAAAAGGGATTTTTCTGCCTTAGATCAATTTAGAGGATAAATCTGCAAATCACCAGAGACCAGGGGGAAAGGAGGCTCTGGTGGGGATGGGCTGAGCATCTGCAAAGAGCCAATGGAGAGTGAAGGGCCTATGCTGGGAGCCAGGATGTATCGTCTCCCTGGCTAAGGCTGGTGGTCGCCCCCACAGGGATGTGCCTGAAGACAACCTGCAGGGAGCTGCCCTGCCCCGCTCCCCCAGGTGTGGTGCTGATTCTCCTGTCCCACCATTCCTCCATCAGCTACATCACATTCTCCACTGGGTGTGGGACGTGAGCCACATGGTGCTTATGTGGCAGGAGGATAGTGATCTGTCTCAGGGACAGTGAGTCCAGAATCTGCTTCCCTGGTAACCCACCTGCCCCTCTGAGGTCCTGGTGATAGGTCAGGACTATCTCCTTACTGAATGAATTCCTATCCCTGTAGTCCTCTCCCTTCTCACCTCACACAACCTGCCATGTTCCTCTGCAGCCAGGACTGAGGTCCACTGGGGAGAGTTCTGGTTGGCTGGCATGTTCCTCCTGAGTCTCAGCCCTCAGGCTCTCCTGCTGACAACTCTGCTCTTCCCAGGAACCTAAGGCCAGGCGGGCACCTGTGGGCTCAACCAGAACAGCAGAGGCCTGAAGGAAGATCCTGCAGCCTTCACTATGGGGTCTGGTCCAGGGACTCCACAGAGACTCCAAGAAACTCTGGAAAGACAGTGTCCACATGGTCAGTCACTCCACATTCACCCCAGAAATACTTCCTGGCAGCACCAAGGGGTGGCTCACTGTGCTGGATACTGTGGAAGAGAAAAATTCAGTAAAACCAAGTATTAGCGTAGAATATGGGAAAAACTCATGAGATTTGTTGTAAAATAAATGAGGATTTGAATTCCAGCTCTGGGGAAGTCACTTTTGCCTGAGTTTCTTTATCTTAAGACAGGATAAAAATACCTGTCTCATGTGGCTGTTAGAGTTAAATGAAGTGATGCTTCTAAAGTACTTATTCCTACTTGACACCTGGGACACACTCCATTAATGTTAAATATTGCTATTATAACATGCCAGGCATATTTTATTAGGTACCTCATTTAATTTTCACACTCATCATGGGAATTATTATTATTCCCATTTACGATCAGATAGAGCCATTCAGAAATACTAAGAAATTTGCCCCAAATTCACTAAGATTGGGGAGATAACAGAGATTCAAACCCAGGTATGCCTGGCTCCAAAGTGCACTTTCTTAACTACTCTGCCATAAAGTATTTTATATAAGGCAGAGTCACAATAAACATTATTTCTGGCTCCTGCTGCCTTCAAAGTGCTTTGGCTGGGGAGTGACCATGTCACATGTGCATAAACCAACTTTCTGTATAATTCAGTGTACATTATGAGCAACTTATAGAGCCCACCTTCTTATGCAAAAGACAAAAACATAAACTAATCTCCTGCTCCCCTTCCCCCAATTCCTATCTGGGCCCCAAAAAACAACATGTCTGCACAGACTCCTAAATCACTAACGACACTGTCTGACAAAACTGTGTCCCAAAGGTATCATCAACTAGTTCCATAGGCTCCTCAAATAATCACCAACACAGGCAACACACCTGCAATAGAAAATCAATGATGGATCTGCTTAAGGCCCCTTGGGGGTCAAACCTGACCACCTATAGAAACCTATAACTCACAGCCCATATATAGAATTAGTGACTCCCATAAAATCCTCAATAATAGACCTTCTGGTCCATCACTTATCAATTCACAGTCCTGCAATTACTGATGTCCACAAGTGCCAGTCAATGACTTCTATAGGTCTCCACAAACTGACTCCCAAAGACTGGTACTCCCAGGTGAATCCAACATTCACTACCTCAGTGTTTCAATCAATAACTCTCATGTACCCGTCAATGACTTCAGATGCTTACATCTCCAACTCTTATTAAACTTCAAGAATTCCTACAGAACTCCCAATCATTTATCCATAAATGTCTCAATTATTTTCCTTCAAGGTTTCCCCAAGACTGTCACTCACTGCCCCAATATGAATGACATCTATAGGCCCTGGATTATCTAATCCTATTGGACCCTAACTCATTGATCCTTCCTCACAGAAAGCAACCCAATTAAACTCTTAGATTTGTGGACAATTGATTTTATATAAGAATTTCAATACAACTCAATAGGGGAAAGAAAAGTCTATGACATTAAAAGCATAAGCAACAAAAGAAAAAATAGATAAATTGGACTTCACCACAATTAAAATATTTTTTAAATTTATCTTTATTGTTGAAAGTATTACAAATGTTCCTTTTCCCCCCATTGATCCCCATACCCTGCACCCCTCCCCCCAGGCCTTCACCACACTATTGTCTGTGTCCATGGGTTATGCATATATGCACATAAGTTCTTAGGTTAATCTCTCCCCACCCACCCACTCCTGCCTTCCCTCTGAGATTCCTCAGTCTGTTCTATGCTTCTATGTTTCTGGATCTATTTTGCTCATTAGATTCCACATGTATGTAAGTTCCTGTGATACTTGTCTTTCTCTGACTGGCTTATTTCACTTAGCATAATACTCTTCAGGTCCCACAACGCTGTCTCAAAGGGTAAGGGATCCTTATTTTTTCCAGCTGCATAATATTCCATGGTGTAAATGTCTGAGAAGATGCTTGATATGATTTCAATCTTCTTGAACTTCTAGAGACCTGTTTTGTGTCCTAACATGTGGTTTATCCTTGAGAATGTCCCATGTGCACTTGAGGAGAATGCTTATTCTGAAGCTTTGGGGTGAAATGTTCTGTAAATGTCAATGAAATCCATCTGATCTAGTGTCTCATTAAGAATCACTGTTTCCTTGTTGATTTTTTGTCTGGAAGATCTATCCAGTAAAATGAGTGGGGTGTTAAAGTTCCCTACTGTGACTGTATTGCTGTCTATCCCTCCTTTAAAAGTCATCCATTCCTAGGAGTGCAATCACTGGGTCAAACGGCAGCTCCATTTCTAACTTTTTGAGGAACCTCCATACTGTTTTCCATAGTGGTTGCACCAGTCTGCATTCCCACCAGCAGTGTACTAGGGTTCCCCTTTCTCCACACCCTCACCAGCACATGTCGTTTGTTGATTTGTTGATGGCAGCCATTCTGACAGGTGTGAAGTGATACCTCATTGTGGTTTTAATTTGCATCTCTCTGATGATTAGCGACGTCGAGCATTTTCTCATGTGTCTCTTGGCCATCCATATGTCCTCTTTGGAGAAGTGTCTATTTAAGTCCTTTGCCCATTTCTTAATTGGGTCATTTGTCTTCCTCTTGCTGAGTGCTATGAGTTTTTTGTACACTTTGGAAATTAGCCCCTTATCAGAT